TTTAAATTTGGTTGGATTTCTTCAAAGTTAAGTTTGTGCTGTTTTCTCGATTTTAGCTATTTTCACCGGCTTTTTGATCAGTGCACAGCAGCTCGCGCAGAGTCCATAGAAATACTTGGTAGAGTGGTGCGCGTCTTAAATAGCAACGTGGAGCGTTTAGTGACTTAACTCCGCCTCGAAGATTTTGATAGCTTGGCCAAGCGCGTTGAAGAAAGAAGTTATATGATTGGCTGTTGTTAAACTGATTCTAAACTGTGAGGGCATTGTCACATACACATAGTCCTAATGAAATACTTCAAGGTGATAGTGGAGTGCTTCGCCGGAACATTCACCTTGAAAATTCAAGATGGACCCTAGCAACTTCGGGGAATCCTCCATCTGAACACACTGACGACGTGACCGAAATCCAAAGGCCACGTCCGCGCACCTATGGTGGACGCGCGTGGGCTGGGTTTGTCAATGATTTGTCATTTTTTGTTCGGCCTGAAGGGGGAGCGCCCGGCGCGTCTCCTCCTAAACTTACATTTTTTTCTTGAACATTATTCGCATCAATTCTAAAACATCGTTTCAAGTTAATCAACTATACACAGGAGAATTAAATAATAATTAATGAGCAAAATGTGTTCATGCAAAAAATTGGAACACGAGATCACATGTTTGTATTTAAACAACTGCTCACAGAATATCTTAGCAACGGGAAATACATTTTTGCAAAAATGGAAATTAAGAAATAATATAAATAAATCAAACACAATGGTATTCAACAAAGGTGTCATTCTACAATTCTCTTCGTATTAAATTTAAAAAAAGAAATGAAACAGTCAGTTACTAGTACAGTATGATAAAATGATCAAACCAATACTTTTATAATGCATGTGCCGAATTATGGTTAGATTCTACATGAATTTCATGTCGACTTAAGAACAAATACACGTCAAATACTGCAAATACATACAAAGTAAACAACAAAGCGACCAATAATAATCAAATACAGGTCTAGAATAAACAAAATGCCTGAAAATGCTCTGGTATTTGAAGCATACAGTCATAGAACTGAACAACTCTGGCATCCACAACAGGGTCACCAGTTTATATCCTTAAAGATCTAGATATAGACGATGTAATTATAGATAAAGTAATATCAGAAAAACTAAAAACAAGATTTGAAAAAAATGTAACACCCATCACAGGTCATTATTGACAAAATTACGAATTAGTGCTAATAGACCACAAATACAACTGTTAGATATAATTACACAAATATATCTGACAGAAAGTGTTTATTTTGTGAGAAGAATGATAATAGAGGACGAAGAACATTTTGTGTTAATATTTGATCTTCACGCAGGAGAAAAAAAAACTTTTTCTGCGGTTATCACCTCCACATTTAGCCAAGAATAAAGAGAAACTAAAATATTTTTTCTCATAAAGTTGAGAAAACAATAACAAAGACGAGAAAACAATAACAAAGATAGCAAAATACAACTAGTGAACTGTTTCAATATCAGTGAAGAAAAATTGAAAACAATGAAGCCAGTTACATGCGGTTACATGCATAAGTTAGTTAGCTACATATTTCACCAACACAAATATACAATTCTTATTTTTCCGTTTTCCATTTTAGTCATTTTTGTTGTTTTTCTTTGTTTGTCTTTTTCTTCGTATCTACATTGCATTTTAATCAAAAACCTAACAAGAATACGAACGCATTAAAGATTATTATACTTTCGGCACTCTTATCCTTGCTGCCGCTTTCCATACATCATGCTCCGCTGGTGATATCAAAGTACATGCAACTATACTATCATTTCCGTCCATCGGGTGGTGGTCGTGGTGCCAAGCATGCGCTAGAGAAAGGACTCATATGAACGATGGCGACTTTGACTTTGACCAACGAGTACAAACTGAGACGTTGCTAAGCTTTAAGGTCGGCAGTCGTCGCGCCGCGTCCTGTTCGATATGGGACTCATAGCGACATATACAACGCGTGTAAAATACATTGTTTATTAACATGAAATTCGAAGACGCGCTGTGCGACGACCACCGCGCTTTTAACTATGTAATTTATTTGGTGATTGGAAGGTGGCGGAGGAGTCACCGGCGGTAGTTAGTGCACGGTCACGCCCAGGTCAAAATTCGTACTCGTTTATTTCATTAGAAGCGCGCATTGGATTGTGGGAAAATCAATGTTAATTAACACAAATATCGCACATGCGCGGCGTAACGCCCACCGCACTTTAACATATCACACTCCATCAATATGGAAACAAACTACTATTACCCCGATCTTCATGCATAACCAGGCAAAACTGATAAACAAGACTTCCCTAGTTATCGTTTATTATCTTATCCACACATTATGTTACATTTAAGCGGATTATTTAAATGGTAAAATGATATTTTAGTTCATCTCAATAGTAAAGATCCGCCGTCAAAACTCAAAATGATCAGAACCGTGACGTCAACGGCATCCAATTTGATTTCTTACGCACTCGGGGACTTCATGTTTGTGGTGCTATATGATAAAGCTAGACTAACTATCACACGTAATCCAATGCAAAATTATGATAAAATACCGTAATAATACCAGTACTAACAGCGAAGAGAACGAATTGCACAAACCATTTTCTTTTTCGATCAAAATATCTCGTACATTATTTTTGGTAACAACTCGCAATCGATACAACCCGACAGTTCAAATGAGCCGCATACAACTTTTTTGTTTTGTTTTATTTTGGCTCATTTAAAAATACAAACGATGTCAATATTCAAAACTTTTGTTTTGTTTTTGGCATAATTCATAATATTACATTTTCAATGTTGACGTCGTACAAAGTGCACACCCACGCCCACAAATGTCTGCTTGTGCTCGTACGAGATCGACCTTACGCTTTTGATGCATCGCCTGCGTGAATTTAGAAAAAGCGCACCAGGCACACAAAAATGCGGACGTTTCGGCCGCGTGCGTTTTTTCATTCAAATATAAAATTTCGGCTACGAAGATTTGGCACGTTACCAGTACACGCATTTACTTAGTATTAGGAAATAAATACGCCGTGATCGTTTTTATTTTTACATGAAGAGCTGTGAGATATCATGCCTTTGACAATGACCCACTCCTTATATAACACGTATCAGTATTATCTGAGGTACATTACTTGGGGTTTGCAACTAATGTACCTCTGGTATTATATACATGTATCAGTTTAATATCAGAACATATGCCATTGGAGGGCTCACACTAATGATTGGCAATGAACTACATCTGGTAGCCGACATGTGTATAAATACCCCAGACCATTCGTCCCGGTGTTATCGCTATCGCCACACGAGACTCCAGCTTGTCTCCTATACAATTTGACTGCGCACATCCAGAAAGTAGATGTAGCTGTGATTGGTGGAATACTAATGAGTTGAGTGTCAATCAAACGCCCACGCTATCTTTAGTAAACAAAGTCACGTGACACGCGCCATTTTAGTTTTGGCAGGCGATTTCAAGGCTTTCGTTCACAGGTTGGGAGATATTAGAATGACTGACAATTTCACGCCACTGTTTTACATTATTGGCGGATTTTTCTGCGCTATCAATCTTTCTCTTACAAACTAGACATAGATGAGACGACAGAGTCGCTCCTTTCACAACGTCGCACTGGATCAAATTGGAAAGACGATTTCCATAAGTTATCCCTCCTGCTTTTCCTGGCTTGAATAAATTCACACACGACTTTAACTGTCCACAAACTCGAAGACTACACGAACACAGTCTACAATAGTCGTTCGCAACAATATGTATGTATTTCTTCGGTGTACTGATGCACGAATGCACCGTGACACGGTGTTTCTCGGGTGTCGCCATCGCTGAGAATGCCGCCGGCGCAATTTTTCACCCAACTCGCGATTCTGTTTTGCAACATTTTATCAATATTCCCTTTGACAAAATCGCCGACAAAAGCACCGCTTTGCTGATCTTTTGTTCTATAATTCTTAATGCAAACACCGACCCTAGTAGTAATTAGTAACGTCGCCTAGTACATATGAAC